GTACTGTGTTGAACAGTCAATGTGAGTGTACAACTGGTGCCGGCAACAAGGCCAAGTGCAAGCACGTGGCAGTTGTGCTTTTGCCTTTTTGGCATAGAAGGCCTTGCTCGAACAGGACAACTGACCATACTGCAGATTTGAGCTCGGCACCATGTCTCGAACAGGACAACTGACCATGCAGAAAAGCTGCACTGACCTCCCACAACAGTGGCACCAGCCAACTGTGGTCCATACTGGTTCGCCTACACTGTTAACTTATTTTGACAAGGTTGCGTTTTTAAAACTATCAGCGCCTGTCGAAAAAAAAACAGTATTTGATAAGTCACATCACAACTTCTTCGTCAAAAGTTGTTAAATTTAAGAGCCAGGCCAAATTCTCTGAACAAATGTCCTGTTATATTCCAATCTGCCACGGGTGGAAACAACAGTTACAAGGAAAGTCTGAGTTGAAAGCTACAGCATTTTCCATTGTAAAAAACACGATGATTAAGAACCGTAGCCTCATACTAAAATAAATATATTGATATATTGCCGAATTTGAAGAATATAATTTGATAAATATGATGCCTATGTGTTTCAGGAATGCATCATCTGCCTCCGGCCCTGGGAGCCGGAAGTCATCCGAAGGGTGATATACCCATGCAGGCATGCGTATGCGTGTATAGCGTGTCTCCAGAGGGTCCACAGGGCTTGGGACGCTCGCTGTCCATTTTGTCGCGGGCCAGTTGATGAACCTCCAATGGAGGTTTTCATCTAAAGGTGTGGTAAATGAGGTGTTTCCATTGGAGGTTCATCAATGTTATGTGTACATATGTATGAGGCATGACAGTGTATATGTATATGTATTAGGTATGTGTGTATGTATATGTGTACTTACGTATGTAAGTATGTACTATGTATGTATGTATTTATGTCTGCAGTATGTATGATATGCATGCATGCATTGCTGTGTTTGTGTAGGGTGGAGGGTGTTTGCAACGAACACTGAACAGCATGGTGGATAATGGATGTCAATACATTATGTACATTGTACATATCATGTTTTTGTTTTGGGCTTCGGCTTCCCTTTGAACAGGTGAAAAGTACGTCACAATTACACTAGCACATCAGCAAGATTAGTTGCAGAAACTCAGTTGCCTAGTAAGCCTTAAAAATGTTCGCGTGTGCTCACTATTGTAGTTTACCGGAGCCGGACCGCCTGATAAAGCATCGCCTTCCTGAAGAAATGAAAAAAAAACTTCATTGGACCTCTAGTTGGACATGCCATCTTCAAGAGTGCCGTCACATGCAACATAGAGACGCTTCCACAGCACTAGTAAACACTTACACCACTCTATGCGCAATGACAAAACTCACCGACGAACTCAATCCTTTTCTACTACTCGCTATGGGTGACGATGCCGTCTTTGCGTCGCCGATAGATGTTAATATACATGACACTGAAGCTGATCTGGCCAATCGGTTCAACCTTTCACTAAAAATGACAAAATCGATAATTGGCACTTTTTGTGGCGGATTCCTTGTAGAACTGTCCGACAGATGGGTGTACGCCACGGACGTAATCAAACGCATGGAAAAACTCGGAAGGCGACATAACCCTGACATTGCACTGGTGATTGAACAATATATCCCTCGCCAGGCCAGGGGGGGTGTTGATGCAACCCCCCCCCCTAAGGTTTTTCGCAAAAACGTTAAAACGGCGGCGCATAGCGCCGCCAAATTTGGTATACCCTCTGGGGCAACCTTTTGGCACCTTCCCTGAAAATTTCAGGTCTCTGCCGTTTCAGGTCAGGTCACCAGGTCAGAAAAACCGGTACAAGGTCATGGTCAAATTTCAATTTTCTTTATGCATCTGTCCAACTCACAGTTTTGGACTGATTTCCTTCAAACTTTCAGGATGTCCTAAGTTCACCGAGTTGTATAACACATATTCCGTTTTTTTTTCATGTCACTGACCTGAGGGCAGTTAGAGGTCATTATGTCATAATGTTAAGCCTATGGGAAAATATTCAATTCGGAAAATACTGGCGATATCCGCTTCGTTCTATCACTTTGGTGCTTTGAAACAACAGTACTTAACATTAGGTCACTCGGTGCTTCTTTGTTTGATGTACTTATCCATGGGTCAGGTCAAATGAGGTCAACTGAGGTCAAATGACGTTTGTGCCAATAACTTGCCACACAATTAAGATACAGCTTTCAAAATGGCATCGTTCTGTTCCTCTTGAACAGCCGAGTCGAATGCTATGCAACATTAAGCATTTCGACCACTCTTAAGACTTAAGATGTACTTAAGATGTGCTTAACCTTTCAAGTACACTTAAGCAAGCAAACAAGTATATCATTCGACGCGCCTTGACGTGCTGAGTTCACTGGTGCTTTTCTTTTTGCTCTATCTTAATTAGATCAAAAGTTATAAGCGAAAAACTTTTAGCCTGTTTTAGCAAAATTTTACATTTATACCCCCCAAAACCCCCCTAAATATTGACTTAGAGCAACCAAATTTGCACAGGGGCGAGATCTCCTATAGACCCATCTACCCTGTAAATTTGGTGTTTCTAAGTGTCATAGGAGCCAATCGCCAAGGGGGGGGTCGTACCAACCCCCCCCCCCCGGCCGGCCGCGTTATGAAAAAGGCCCTGGCCTGGCGAGGGATATTTCATTCAAAGACATAATGCGCGTTTACAACAACCGTCAAACACGATCAAAAGCCTCGCAGCTTATTGCGTCACATTACAACGTAGAATTCGATCTAGAGCCCGCTATCGAAGCTATGTACAACTTGTCAATAGATCCGGCCGCATTTCTTAACATTTACGATTACAAGTATGAAGAAAATAAATTCGAACAAATCCGAAAACATTTAGATAGAAGTCGAAGAGTCAATATACTAGATATCGATGACACCGAATGGAGTGATTGATTTTTATAAATGCGCGATGAAAATCACTATCATTCTGATTGTCTTCGGCCTCCTTGTTCCCTGCATTCGCGCCGAATGCAGTGCTCAGGAGGTCGCTAATATAACGGCACCTACTTACGCAAGAACCATGCGCAAGTTGACAGTTCTATTCAGATCTGTCAATAATTTTTCTAACGGCACACTCAATCATCTGCGTAGAAATACGCTGAAGACCGTACGCCGTTTCCGGCGCAAGGCCCTCAATATGGTCTATAATAAGTGTTGAGGCAGTGGTAATATTTGACACTGCCTGTTTTGGGTTGAAATCCCCAAAACAATGTTATAAAAAAAAACATGCAACATAGATGCACCCCCAAAATCTGTTATTCATGCCACCTCCAGCTTCGCGCCATCTCTAAGCGAAGTACGCACCAAATGTTGTCTGGGGCAGGCAAAAAGAAAGCAGGCACTGCACTCAGGGAATATGGCCCGTGAAAGCAACGCGCTGGCCGACGTGTGACATCACATGAATCCCGAATATACACTCCGACGCCCGTTCAAGTGGTGTTGGAAATTGATAAGCAAATAATTGTCCATTGATTCCCTTGAGGGAAAGCAGCTCGCTCCATTCATTGCATATGGTGAGCCGACCGCACAGCAGAGAACACATTAACTGAAGGCTGTCGAGACTCGTTCACAACGAAAAACGCGTACCTCGGCGTCATTATACCCATGCGTATTCACAGTTCGACTAAAACACAGACGCCAAACGCGCCCGGTGACAATCCACCGATTAGCAAGGACGGAACGAGAACGAGAGCAAGAGTGGGAACGGAAACCGGCGTGGTATGTTCTATCTACAATCTACCTAATCAAGGTATCAAACCAAAGCCAGGTCAAGCTTGTATCACACAGGCGACTTTGTTCGGTGTAATTGTGAGAAAGCTGTCAATGTTGATCGTGATCGGCAGGCCCGAGGAACCGGAGTGAGCCAATCGCGTGTAACGCACGGGCGCTATTGTTGGGCCGCCGGCCGAAGCCCCGCCCGTACACTATCAGATGATCCCTGGGGTACAACACACTAAAGCGAGGTAGAACGATGAACAGGGAGAAAACAAGAATGTGTAGAGGCACAATAGAACTCATACGCACACGAACACCTGAGGGCTGAGAAAACATCGCACTCGTGACCCAAGCCACAAAGGGGCTAAGAACTAGAGCAACTCCGGACCATGGTGACAGCCGGACCACAATCCAAAACTCGTGTGAAAGCCGCCCGAAGCTGTCCCCGTCCGGATCAGCAGTCAGCGGTCAAGTTTTTACGGTGCCGAGCGGGCCTGTTTTTCAGTGGATGGGGAGCACCGAACGCACATATACGATAAGCCCGCAAACGGAATGGCGAAATCCCACCGAGGTGCGAAGACACGGAGGCGGAGAAGAAACACGGGGAACACCGGAGGAATGCCAAGAGACTTATGTATCGTGGTGCCTGGTGAGGTCACCCTCTCTGTCTATATCCTGGAGGCTGGAGCCGCCTCTGAGCCGGAGCCGGTGTCAAGTGCTGTCTGGGCAGTGGCCGCCCCGCGCCACCGTCACGCTGCTCGACTAATAGTTCTCGGCTGGTACTGGTAGTGTCTGCATCTGGGACCCTCAAAGCCACACAAGCAAGCACTCGAACATGGCGCAGCCTACCTTTTGAACCTAACGTACCACTTCAAGTAAGCAGGTTTTGTAGACGCTGACGAGCGGATCAGAGATCGTCTCATATCAGGGGTGTCGGACAGGGAGCTGTCCCGTAAGGTACAGCTCAAATCACTGGAGGAGGCAGTATCAATGAATACGGTCATTTCTATGATGCGTAATGTCGAAATCGTGAACAGTCGTGACACCCCCGGTCCGTTTGACGTCAGCAGGGTTCGTGCACCGGAGCAGTACGGGCAGCCGCGCCAGCAGTTGCAACTATGAAAAGATCAGCTGCGAAGATTCTGGAAATATCACAGCACTTTAATACCATGCCCAGCCCCTGATCCCTCCCCAGCTAACCACATGTTGTGTAGCGGGTGTGGGCCCCCGCCGCCGTCCCCCGGCACCGACTGACCTGTGTCCGGTTTCTCCGCTCCTTCCATCGCCTCCACCTCCGCCAGCAGTAGCAGCGAGTCGCGGCAGCAGTCGAGCGCCTCTGCTGCCGTGACGCCCGCGCCGTCGCCGCCCACCAACTGCGCCAGTCCCTCCAGCACGGCGGCGGGCAGCTCCCGGACGGCAGCCAGCTCGCCCAGCCACCAGGCGCGCCGGTCCGGCAGCTCGGCCACGGCCGCCAGCAGGCCCAGCGCCTGGCGCAGCAGCGGCGCGAACAGTGCGCCGCGCAGCACGTCCACCAGCAGCGGCAGCCAGCCAGCCAGTGCGCGCAGCAGCCGCTCCGGCTCCGGCTGCGCACAGGCTGCCGCCTGCGCCAGCCGCAGCGTTTCGCGTAGTACGGGCGCGTCGCCGCGCGACCCGGCGATTAGCAGGCCGACGGCGGCGGCGGCCGTGTCGGCGCCGCCGGGCAGCGCCTTGGCACCGTGTCCGGCGCAGTTGGCCAGCGCGCCGGACACAATCTCGAGAAGGCGCGGGCACGGCGAGCGGTCCAGCAGCGGCCAGACCACCTCGAGGAGGCCGCTGGCGGCCGCGAACTCTGCCACCGCCCGCTCGGCAGTCATGTCCCAGAGCTGACAGAGCTGCTCCTCCAGCTCAGCGTCCAGCTCCATCAGAGGCGGCTCGTCCCCACCGCCATCCTCCGGTGACTCCCCCGCCCCGTCACCTTCCGCGTCCCCGCCCTCACCGGCCGACCTCTCCAGTCCGAGGTAGCGTGGCACGGCGGCGTTGAGCGCCATCAGCGTCCGCAACAGGCCGCGCTCAGAGTAGAGCGTGTCACCGATGGCATCACTGTGTAGCACCGCGTCTAGAGGTCCGGCGGCCGGCGGAGGGGCCGGGTTTACCGATGGCGTGCCGTCCTCGTCCTCAGAGCCTGAGCGGCCGCAGCCGGTCTCAGAGTCGGATGGTGTACCAGAGTCCATGTCAGCTGCTAGATGAGCGTCCACCTCAGGCACATGCTCGGCAGGCTGCAAAAGAGGATGCCAGTGAGTGACAGGCGACTGAAAGAGCTTTGGGATCCTATTTAGGAAACAGCATTTGTAGATCGGACAGTTCAGAACTCTCGTCACACAGGTGTTGACAGTCATAAAGATGAAATAAAAAAGGGCTTGCCATTTTTTTGCTATTTTGATAGTATTAACCCATTCCCCACTGAGGGTCCTGGATTTCCATGCCCTGCTGGGGGGGGGGAGGGGTGTATAAACACACTTCGGACAACCTTACGAAGACCGTCTCAAGACAGTCGGGGAAACTGTGGTAAAATCTGCAATTTTTAGCAGTCTGCTATTTTTAACAGAAATCTGTTAAAAATGGGTACGGATCTGCTAAAAATGGGTACGGTAAAAAGTATGTGGCAGAAAACTGGTCAAACAACCATCTTCGACTCCAAAAGCCACTATTTTGCATGCAAAATCAATACTAAAAATCTCAAAGGTGCAGATGAACCAAGCACTTGCCTGAAAACTTTAAAGAATAATGCTAAAAATCTAGCTGATTCAGGAAGCATCAAATCTAATCAGGGATACCATTTTTGGCAAATGCAGCTGCTAAAAATAGCAGTAACAACTTCTATGTATCTCACCCGACACCCAAGCTGAAACATGGTTTTGGGACGCTGCGGCCTTTATTGCAATCAATGGGCCTCGATGGTACGTCATACGGCTCTTCACGTGATACCTCCGAGCCCTTGAGACTTTCTCCGCATACCGAACAACGCAAACACGAGCTATCAAGAACCTCAGCACACTTCCTGCAGCTGACCTTGCCAGTGACCGCTAGCTGCGTACACGTCCGTCGGATCTATCAACTTTTCGTCATTCATTTTTTGTTCCTTCTGAACCTGTTGAAGTCTTCTGTGAAAGAACCTGCCTCGATAGGCTCTGAAGTCAACCGCCAGCTCCTTTTCCAGGGCGTTGACGTCTTCCAATGCGCTTGCCAGCTGCTCTCCTTCAAAACACTCGTACGAAGATGGCATCAGGGAACTATCTTTCTGTACGTTGGTTGCTCGTTCTTGCTGGATTGAACACACCATAGTGCATCCACTCACAGTCCGTTGACCACCAATCATCAGCATTGTCGATCTCTTCACAACCTGGTTGTTGTCAAAAGACATCAACATCGCCTTCGGCGTGCAGTTTGCCTTCTACAGTAGCATTCTCTGCTAGCATGGCACGATGGGTGGTCACCGACCCCGAGGGAGCTGCAGCGCTGGCAATGGCTTGGGCGGATTTGCTCTGAGAATATGTATTCTTCACCAATGATTCACAAAAGGAGAATGGGCCGACGAAACGCTTGTTACGAGCGCCGAGGATATGTTCATACAAATGGCATAGTCTGACAGCCTTCCGTTCGTCCATGTCATCTGATTCTCTTCGAGCCTGGGTGACTTTCTCAAGAAACTCCATGACCACTTCATTTCTTTCGCCTAACCATTGTCTTGGGCTCAGGTTCTCCAACTGGGGGATTGACTTGTACCTCCCGGCCATCGCAACACTCTCTGCATACAGCTTACTGTTGAGTGAAGTGCCTATGGCACCCGCTAGACACTTCAGTTGATTTTGACTGACTTCGTCCTTTACGATCAAGTCCATCACGGCCGAAAAAGCACAATCCGACTTCGTCTTTTTGCTTTCATGAGCACCTTTCACTTTTCCTGCTGCAGTTGACGCGTCATCAAGGCATTCTACTTCCATTGCAATGGAGGAAGTGGTTGCCTCCTCTGCCCCCTTTGACGTGGTTGTTTCATCTGTTTTCTTTGAAGTGGTTTCTTCACCTGGTGCCTTTGAAGTGGTCTCCTCATCTGGTACCTTTGAAGTGGTTGCTTCAGGTGTTCCTTTTGAAGTCGTTGTTTTGCTTGTTCCTTTCTCCAGGCCAAGTACTTCCTGTGCATGGCTGACGCATGCAGAACACAAGAACGTTGGAGTGGCGCCTTTGGAGACGTTAGGAAAATAGAACTTGAGGACAGCAGTGTTAATTTTCTTTGCTTTTGTCCTCAACAACCTGACGGGGGGACTTTCAGATGCTCGATTTAGAAGGACGTCTCCATGGTGAGCATTTCCACATTTTGCAACCTTGCTCCAGGTCTTTCTCTTTTTTTCCAATGTTTCCTCCATCCTGATCTGAAAAATGAAAATGTTACATGAGAGAGATGATGAATAGACTAAAACTGTAACACATTTCTTGAAAATAATCACAACCATGAGCCAACCACATTTTACTGATGTAAGGTAGCATAAATACATATATGGCCTCCCATGACAAAAGAATGTCACGATCTGTGAAAGGTAACGATGAATGAATTTTCCCCAACAGTCCAATAGAATGAAGGTGGAATTGTTCCTAGTTAGGAAAAACTATGACCGACAACAAAAAGATTCACGAAAAGGAAAAACTGACAAACAACAAAAAAGATTAACGAAACAGTGTATTTAACAGCTGCTGAGCAAGACATGCTGACTAGCATGGTTTGAAAGGACGTGGTTAGCTTTGCTGCAATATGCTGCAATAATCAATGGAGCATCAACACACAACTCATGCTCATGGGCTCATGGGACCAAGCGATGTTTTATGCCAAATTTGCCATTACATGAAACACTGTGATCACGGCCATCTTAACAAACCACAAAAATGGTTAATTAACTGTTGAAATATGCCTAAATTGCCATTTACCTCCTAAATCGTACAAACTAGGCACCATCTGGCCCGACCAATGACAGCAAATTTTGTTTGTTATAGTGGTGGCCAGCTCTAGTGATGACTTTAACCCGCGCCCCGCTGGGGGGGGGGCAGAATCTGCCCCCCTCCCGTTTTTCGCCAATAACTTCTAAACGCGTTACGCCAGCGACGTCAAACTTTCATTACCTTATCATACATCAATTTGACACGTTCCCTGAAAATTTGAGCGAAATCCGTCGGAAAATTTTTGAGAAAATAACGTTTTAGTGACGTCATGCTCGCCATTTTCGCCTAAAAAATCGCAAAATTTCAAAAGCCGCTAAGATCTTCATTTTTAAAGGAATCAAGACGTAACAAAAAAGGTTATACGTGATTCTACTTTGTCTATCAAATGGCTATCTCGGTTTTTTGAAAATTTTGGATTTTGGCCCAAATTTTAAAAAAACAGACTTTTTTGGGAAAAAGTAATACTTTTTTGGGAAAAAGTAATACTTTTTTGGGAAAAAGTAATTATAAAATCCAAAATTTTGAGTGTATCGAAAAAACCGGAATATATGTCAGATAGGTGGTCTATGTGCACCTACATATCAATTTTGAGAAGAATCGGTTCAAAAATGTGGGAGTTATTCAAAATTTTATGACGTCACGACACACAAAATTTTTGAAAAATGAATTTTTTGGAAGTTCTAGACCTCGTACGGAAACAAAAATAGCACCATTCGACTCGCCGTGAAAAACTGCATCAGACAGACACCTTTTTAGGCCTTAACAACCAACTTCAAAATTTGACCTCACTTGACCTGACCTTGACCTGACCTCGACCTGAAATTCATCCAGAGGTGGTCCATATCACTAATTGAGTGTGCCTATTGAATTCTATGAATAAAATGACCCATAAAACATGTGTCGCACATGCCCTTTTCTATACAGGGTGTCTCAAAAGTTCCTATACACATTTCCCATGCCCATAAAGCATATAAGAACCGGCCAAAAATCTAAGGTTTTTGTGTCTGTGTGCACACTAGACAAATATGCATGCTTTGACAACTGATTCGGGAGGTTGGAAATCAAACCCTTTGCTGTATCTCCAAAAATATTTGCCCATACCGATTTTCGTCGCTCCGTCAGCTGCCGGAGGCTGATAAAAGGTTACAAGCTTTCAAGCTCTTGTAAGGGAATCCCCTGCAGTTTCTGCGTCGGAATTAGGTTTGACGAGCTCCCCGGCAACATCCGCTTCTCCCTGAAAGCCGACAGCGTGCATCGATACCATCCGTGAGTATTTTGTAGGTCTTCTCTGGCGCTAACTCATTCATGAATGACTGGCGCCAACCTCCCAAGCACCATTTTCCTTTTCAAAACAACCCCATTCCTGAACAAATGGGAAGTGCCAGGGGAAAATTTTTCGCAGCATATCGTAGAAGAATGTGTCGGCCATCTGTTTCTTAGACACATTGTGCAAATTTTGCAAATCCCAAACGCTCGTCATTCCCCATGCCAAGACCTTCGCTGGGTTGCGGAGTGTTTTCCTCAGGAGAGGTTCTGCTTTGTAAACCGCCAAAACCTGTCCATCGTGTGGTTTTGTCGGGATTTTGTGTCTAAAAGAAAGCTATTCGCTCCAGATCTGCCTCTTGAAACTTCATAAGATAAAACTTTACATTAATTGACACTTTTGGAGGGTCAGTTGTCCTTGGTATTGATGATTTTCGTGTTATTTTCCCCCAAAATTTAGCGTTCTAGATATTATAAACAATTTCAAATGATACTTTGTCTTTATTTTACGATGACCTGCAATTTTTTAAACTGGGTAACCTCTGTTTGTGAGCTTCTTGTCAGTTTTCAATAGTTATGCCTTCATTTTCAGCTGCTTTCCGGAGCACGAGTCTGCTGCCGTACGAGGGTCGTTCAAAACGCTGTTAGTCTCGCATGGTTTTGTCCTTCAAAAAGTTTAGCCACCGTTTTTATTAGATGATCATCATGTTGTACTCATCCTCGCCGACACTTTGCCACTGCCGTCCTGTGCTGCCGCTGAGCCAACACGGATTTTTATCAAACCGATCTTGTGTGACCAATCTTACATGTTTCATGAGCGATGTATGGGGTGCCATTGCCGAAGGCAAACAAACTGATGTTATTTATACCGACTTCTCTTCCGCTTTTACTAGTGTTAATCACGAACTTTTACTCTATAAGCTAAACAAGTCTTTCAACGTAACGGGTCTTGCATACAACTGGCTTCATTCATACCTTAGTGACCGTAAACAGCGTGTTGTTGTCAACGGGAAGCAGTCAACAT